AGCTCCCAGCATGACATATTTCATCTACCCATCACATCTTTCACTGCCTTTCCTTCCCTCACCTCTCAGCTGCCACCAGTTTCACATTGCAGCAAATCCTATCAGCCTATCTGCCCCTAATCTTCCCACCATCTCCTCATCCTCTGCCAATGACCCAGTGTTGCATATCTCAGTTTCCCTGCTCCTGATCTTCCCCAGTGCCTGCTGTCTCTCCCTTCAGCTAGCAGGATACTTGGGTTTTACTTCACATTTTTTCAAATTGTCTGTCTGCAACAAAACTGGCCTACTTCATTTTGTGCAAAGAAGATGCATGTTTTTTATATTGACTACTCTAAGCCAGGTGTTCTATGCATGGAACAGTTCATGCACAGAATGTTTTGCACATCCATGTATGATTCCAAGACAGAGTGCTCTTACTTTGGAAGATTGCCCCTTGAAACAGTGAAACTGATTTCCAAATAAATATGCATAGGTTTGGATTGCAAGATCTGGAGTTCAGTTTTAGTAGTAAAGAAATACAACAGAACATTTCGGCTTCTTGTTCTCCTGAGTCAGCTGTATATTACCAATCTTTTTTAATGGTGTCTTGGAAATTTACTTTATTTTGAAAGCTGTTCAAGTTTTGTTGATATGATGTATCTCTGTATGAGTGGATGAATGAATGAAATAAACCATTGCATTCCATTTCATAGGTTCTTAGGTATTCTGAGCTCTCAAAATTCATACTTTGCTGTTATAAATCAGGTTTCTAAATAGCTGGTCAGTCTCCTGTGCCACTAATGTCCCAAAGAAGAAAACTATGTAATTTCTCTTTCTGAGTGGTAATATGGGTAGTACGTGGTTTGGTTTTGATTACTTAATTTTTAAGCTTGTTAGATTGTTTCAAAATTTATTATAAATCATAATTATGAAGATTTGAAACAAGAATGATACATGTCCCACTCCTTTTCCTGGCTTGTGGACATCACAGCCATCTATGTTTCCTTAATTGGACAGGTGATGATTTATGCAAAATATTTTGGTTACTTGTTTGAGGCCTCTCCAGATAGCCATTTCAGAAAAAGTCCTCATTCACTGATGGGCTGCTTTTACAGAGACTTTGGAGCTTGCCTTGTTTCTGTTATGCAACCTGCATTCATGAAGGTTCTTCCTTACACAAAAGTGCACATGAGGCTTTAGAGCCAGAATAAATGTTTTAAAGCCATTTCTCATGCCAGCTCTGACTGATCAGAGCTGGCATGAGAAATAGCTTTAAAACATTTATTCTGGCTCTAAAGCCTCATGTGCACTTTTGTGTGAAGAAGAACCTTCATGAAGGTACAGGTAGTCCTTAACTTTTGAGCATAGTTGGGACCATAATTTCTGTCGCTAAGCAATGTGGTAATATACCAAGATGTCATGTGACCGCATTGTTTAGTGACGGCAATTCCGGCACTCCCCATTGCCATCATTAAGCAAATTCCACTGATTGTTAGCCAAGGACCCACCCCAATCCAAGCCATTCTGGGCTTGGTCCCTCCCAGCCCCGAGGCTCAGTAAGGTGAGGGACTGCCTCCAACTCCACCCACCCACCTGTCTCCCCCTCTTTCTTGGCCCTTTTAGCCACCCTGCATCCTGCCTTGCACACCTCGGCAGTGGGAAGAAGACAAGGTCAACTGGGGCGGTGGAGCACAGGGTAATGGGTCTCGGAGTGCAGGGTGGTGAGGGTGACTGGAGCTGGGACTGGACTGGGGCGGCTGCAGCTTCCCAGGATGTGGCAAGCAGCCCCAGAGTCGGGCGGTTCTGGGCTGCTTGCCATCCGGCAAGGCAGGGTGCAGGGGGCCAGAAGGCCAGAGATGGAAGGGGAGATAGGCGGGTGGGGGGGGTTGAAGTGCCCCTGCGGTTGTAAGTGTGGGCGGGCTGCCAAGCACCTGAATTTTGATCACATGACTGCAGGGGCGCTGCAACAGTCGTAACTTTCAGGACTGGTCATATATCACACTTTTTCAGCGCTGTCGTAATTTTGAATAGTTGCTGAATGAATGGTTGTAAGTTAAGGATTACCTTTATGTAGTTGTAATCATATCTAATAGATAAGAGAATATTGCTCCCTGGGGCTTAAAATTTGGGTCTGTTTTGTTTTGGACAGTAGAAGTTCTGCCATGTTGCAAACTGCTTTGGAAGCTCCTTCAAGCTTCACAAATGGTTTCTTTTTCAGCAAGAAAGACTATTATTTCTAAAGCCCCTTGGATTTTAGGAACCAGGTTGCATGTGGGGGGAGGGTTTGGCCCTAGCTTTAATATTGAATTATATTTTTTAAAAATCTGATACAAAGTTCATGTTGGAAATTTGGTGCTCTGACTGTCTTGCAGCAAAGTTGTAGTTTCACTTTTGAAGCAGTAAAAGGCTTTTTAAGCTGTCTTTTAGCTGTCTCTCATAATTTTTAGAAGATTTTCTGTGATTGCTTGTATGTGATACAGCTTTATCAGAATATTACACAAGACACTGAAACAAAAATAAATTTAGAGAGGTTCAACATAATTTGATTAGCTTTTTAAATCAAAAATTAAGACATCTGAAAGATTGACATCTTAATTATTGGCTAGTCAAAAAGGGGCCATAAAATAGCACAACTTTCCAGTGGAACATATATTTCTGTCTAATACTTTGATTTCTGTTATGATATTACGGCTTCCTCAGCTTCATCCTTCACACTCCACTGCATTACAGATTGGCTAATGTGAAGCTCATTGCAGGAAGACTGCTTTGTATATTTTGAACAAATGGACAGTGTTTTGTGTCTAGAACTTGCATATCAGCTGATGAGACTATACGTATGCTTCTTTGCCTGATAGTACAATAGAACTGATTTTTATCAACATTGTTATTTTCTTCAATTGTACATAACTAGTTTCAGTTTTGAGGATTCTACAGACCTTTTTGTAGGAGAAATGCCATGTATTCTGAGAATTTGTGTCATATTAGAGACAAATATTAGAGACAAAAAAAAAAATTCAGATACTTTGGTCACCTAATGCGAAGAGAGGACTCTTTGGAAAAGACCCTGATGCTGGGAAAGATTGAAGGCAAAAGGAGAAGGGGATGGCAGAGGATGAGAGGGTTAGATAGCATCAACTGAAGCAATAGAGCATAGAGAACTGAGCAAACGCAGGGA